AAAAATATATTTTTCCCATAAAATCATTTCAACCAATAATCAGTTTTAAATATAATAAGCCTGTAGGACCTCTTCTCTTTACCTATACAAAAAATTCGTTGAATAATTTAATGAAATAGAAGTTGACAACTTACCTTGTAACTGTAATAATATTGTTTTTAAAGATATCTTTCATAATCATATAGTTAGAGGAAATTTAGAAGTTGTCAAAGATAATGAAGTACAATCAATATGAAAGAAAGGTAGTAAATATAGAATTTTAAAATGCACAAAAAATGTGAAATCTTAAAAGACTTTGATGATTATATTCTTAAAATAAGTAAACAATCCATGTTTCTTTTTGGATGGAAATTATATCTTATCAATTACATAAAGAATCAATTAAGAACTTTAAATTTATGTCGATATAAATTAAATATTTCTTTCAATGTATTTGAAAATAAAATAAATTAAAAACAATTGGTTATTACCCCGATTGATAAAGCTGGCTGTAATTTTGGTTTTCTTTAAAGTACTTTTGTAAAAGAACTTGTGGTATTAATTTCATTAGGTAAAATTTGTGCGTATAATTTACACACTTTTTTAATAGCCTTCTTTAAATTAGTAATAACATTATTTTTTTGAATATCCATACATATTATTATTATACGAATTTACCATTTTTATATGTAATTACAAAATTGCATCAAAATCCTGTGAAATTCATATTTATTACTAATTCTTTAAATACAGTTATTAAGTCTGTTTCCACAGTACTATATACAACAATATTCTAGATGTCTTATTTGAACAGATAAAAACACATAGTCTTAAAACGACCAGAACAAATATTTTTGTATTATTAGAAATAACATTCCAATTTTGGAATGTTTAAATAATTTAAATTCTTCAAAACTGCCAGTCCTATTTTCACACACGACTTTACTACATTGTATACTAAAATAGACCTAAAAGATGTATTCAGGGTTTTCAATGATTTGTTTGATAATTTTATAAATAATGAAATAGCTATATCCAAATCTAAATTTACTAGGATTCACTGTAAAAATATACCCCATTTCTGTATTTATAACAGTTATGTTATTTTTAATGAATAAGTATAAAAGCAAACACTGGGTATTCCAATGGGAACGAACTTCTCTTCAAATATGGCCAACCTGTATATGTTCTTTTATGAAAACTCATTTATGAAGCAGACTTTTAATCCTAGCTTGTACATTTACACTTTCCATTATATAGATGATTTAATATTTAAATATTATAAATTTTGCACCAAACCTAATATATCCAACAGAAAGAAATAATTGAATAACAACAAGTAAAAGCTTGGAATGATCTATTCTTTCGTTGTGGATGTGTCTGTGAGCCAGACTAGTTTCGGAGAATTCCACTCCTCATCAGTGACCCTGGCCACTACCATCAATGAAACATGAGACCAAACCAAGCCTTTATAGTAGTGAGGTATCAATTATGTACCAGCTGCCTAGTGTCGGCTAACAATACGAAGAATTAAATTGTAGCGAAATGCTACAAGTTCTTCAACTACCTAGCGAATGATAGATTTATCTTTTGTGAGTGTAGAACACTTAGATGTACCAGTTCGAGAAAGTAATAATAATAATAATGAGGTCCATGCTAATTATTTACATTTGGACGTTACTTTATAAAAGATACAATGCAGTTGACTGTTTTTGATAAAAGTAGATAATTTAATTTTCCCATTCTTGGTCTACACACACCTAATAGTGTTATTCCGTGTATCATGTTAAAAGGTGTTATCATATCTCAACTAAATTGGTTCTTAATAGTATGTAATAACTATAATTTTTTTATGGATAGTGTTTCATTATTAAAAAATAAACTGAAAAATAATGGATATAAAAACAGACAATTAAAGAAATACCTTACTTTATTTGTTAATAAATATAAAAATATTTTACAAACTAAACTATCGATTAATGAAAATATCTTATAAGAATAAATAAAATAAAGAGGGAGTTAGTTACTTTAGCTTTTAAGTAGCTAATAATAATATTTTAAATAATTTTATTCGGTATAACCGGGAACGAGAGGCTAACTTCAAGTAGCTGGGCTTTTCTCGGTGTTCCCATGTTATACTTGAATAAATCTTCAGGAGAAAGAGAGGATGTTGGGAGTTAGAACTTTTAAGTAAGGTAGGATGTATATTTCTATTTAATATCTTATAGTTCTATTTTAACTTAAGAAATTTCAGGGTAACTGGTTATAGACGGTTAAAGGCAGTAGAAGCCGAGACGTTGTGAGCGTAAGCACTCAGCTTCGTACCCTTATTTAATTTTTATGATTTTCCATGACGGCTGACTAGATTGATTTTAGCGTTTGGATATTGTCTGATAGATGAGATATCCGCAAAACATTTAGGTACTATTACCAACAATAAATTAACAAAAAGGATCTATAACGGTATTGCGATACTTAATTCATTATTGTTTTATAGTGCTGATTTAATCGCCTAATTAATGTAGTCAATAGTTTGTAAGCTATATATATATTATTTTACTCTTTAATTATTTTCTTTACGTGTGAGGCTTTCCAAACGAAGATTAAGATCTATAGATAGTGAATCCCTACAGCTACGCGGGTCCTGTTTTCGAAGTCAACTCAAAAACCAGGATACATTTTATATCCCGTGCCCTGCTGACTGTTTTGCTGTGCAGCGCTTTTGTTAGTAGCGGCATAACAGCACATAGAATTATAGTATTTTGGCACTTGTGTATAAAGTTAAAATCGTAAATAATATTCTAACG